CATGTGCTCCAAATGCCTTGAACATACAAAAAAACATGTCATTCTCCCCGGTCCCCACTCTGTTTTTGCTGGAACCCGCACTCCTTGAGCTCATGGGTTCCCATTCCTTTGTGGAACGGTGGCTCTCTGTGCCTGCACCTTCTGTAGGCCCGAGACTGGCCTCTGCTGCTAAGCAAAGGTAAGCCTGTTTTCTAAGACCTCGTGTCTTCTTCAAGTACACTCTCGTTTAAGTGAAGCCTGTCTTCTGCCAGCTTTCCAAGAAAGAATGTATGGACAATAAACTGGAGACTTTGCATGTGTAAAAACAACACACTATGCAATGCCCATACTTAATAATTCCAACCACTGACATTGGCAGTGATTTTCCTGAGGATTTTGAGGGCCTTGCTTTGCTGTCCACTGGAGCCTGCTGTTGCAGTTGAGATGCCTATTGGCATTTTGGTTTCTGTTGCTTAATGTATAGGGTGGCTGTCCAGCCAGGACACTTGAGCTGTGCACCTGACAGAATACGAGTACTACGGACGTAAACCAAGACCCTCTCAGATAAACTGGCAGCATGGTCATCGTCTATAGATGGCTGATTTTTCCTCTATGAAAATACTTCGGATCTTCTCTTTACCCCTGATGTTTTGTTTCGTGATAATGCACTAGATCTTTGTAGACTCATTCTTAGCTTTCAAATTTGAAAATTTAAATTATTTCGTTAGTAATTTTCTGTCAGACTTTGTTAGTTAAATGTTTGACTCTCTTGATTTTCTTGTAATTTTTTTCTTTCAAATAAACAAAGAGGATTCTCTCTTTTGCCTTTAGCTTTTTAGCTGAGATTCTTGTACATTTGCCTTTTGGTTCTTCTGGGGGTTTTGTTGTTTGTAGTGTTTTGTGTTTAATGTATTATTTTCTTTCTTTTTTTTAAATCATTTTATTAGGGGCTCATACAACTCTTATCACAATCCATACAGACATCAATTGTGTAAAGCGCATTTGTACATTCTTTGCCGTCATCATTCTCAAAACATTTCCTCTCCACTTAAACCCCCGGCATTAGGTCCTCATTTTTCCCCTCCCTCCCCGCTCCCCCTTCCTCATGAGCCCTTGATAATTTATAAATTGTTATTTTGTCATATCTTGCCCTGTCCAACATCTCTCTTCACCCACTTTTCGGTTGTCCATCCCCCAGGGAGAGATCACATATAGTTCCTTGTAATTGGTTCCCTCTTTCCTACCCATTCTCCCTCTACCCTCCCAGTATCGCCACTCACACCACTGGTCCTGAAGGGATCATCTGTCCTGGATTCCCTGTTTCCAGTTCCTTTCTGTACCAGTGTATACCCTCTGGTCTAGCCAGATTTGCAAGCTAGAGTTCGTATCATTTTCTTATAGAGAAGTGTGTGTTCTCTCACCTCTCTGGGCATACCCACTTAGGTGTTCTTACTTTTTCTAGTAAGGGATCTTTTCTTCTCTGCGGTAGCCTTGGTGATGTAGCGGATTGCCAGTTGGGCTGCTCACCACAAGGTTAGCTGTTAGAAACTACCAGCAGCTGCAAGGGGGAAGGTGGGCTTTCTACTCCTGTGAAGAGTGGTAGTCTCAGACGGCCACAGGAGCAGCTCCACCCTGCCTTATAGTGATGCTATGAGTCAGGACCACCTTGTTTGGTGAGCGTGGTTTGAATTTTATTCTCTGCGTTGTATCTTGGAGTCCATCATTTCTACTCACTTTGGCGTATGCTAGGTGCTTTCCTGTTAAGGTCAATGCTATTTAAGAGATATCAAAGAGTTAATGTGGAATTTCTGAACGTGGACAGTGTTTTAGCTGGTGGGATTCCTTGATCCACCTCTCAGTTGGAATACCCTCCCAGGCCAAAACATGGACATCTTGTTTTCAAAGAAAAGAGTACCCCTATCCATTTTCTCCAGGAAGGATTCTGCTACGCACCTGTCTAGAAAATTGCATATCTAGGGGCTAACATTGTTTCAGTAGAGTGGGGCAGGGGACAGAAGGTCCTAGAGATTAGCCTTTTCCTAGAACCTCATCGTTTCCTTCTTCTGTGCGTGATGTCTTTTTGCTTAGGGCTTCTGTGGTTCGGTTTATCCAGAGAAGAAGTTTCTCCTGGTGAGAGTTGACTGTGTGGACAAGGCAGAGGGCTTGATGATCCTGCCTCCCTGCTTCTCCCATCTTCAGTGGTATCTACTGCTCTGAGTGCTGGCCCTCACCTGGAGTCCGCGAGGCGACATTGTTTCCACCCTCCCCTTCATTCACTCCTCTATTCCCTTACCATCTTTGCAGAGTTTCTGAAAACCTGCTCTCGTTAGCGCTCCCTTCCTCTTCTTTCTTGTGGGTTAACACATTTATTTCATTCCTCTGATGTCTTTAAAGGAGTTGAGAAGGGAGACAAGATAAACTTGTGTGTTCTGTGTGCGGTTTTTCACTGATTTTGGAATCCTTTTTTCCCTAGGCAAAGTGTGTTAAGTGCTGCTTAGGCTTTGAATAGTCTTCAGTGCTGTACCTCCTGCGTGTTCTAGGTGAAATAGGCTGACCAAGAAACCTAATTCCATCAATGTCGTTCCTGTAGAACTAGAGGCAGTGAAACCTTTCTGAGTTCACAACTCTTAGAGGCATTGTAATAGAGTAGAACACACACATTTCATAAAACTACTGATTCCAAGTCATGAGAAAATTACTGTCAAGATTGTGTTACCATTGTCAAAATAAAAGATTCTGATCACTAACAGAAACTAGAACATTTGTGGATAATGTTCATAAAGTTAAGTTTACATTAAAATTGAACTCAGAGACAATGAAATTCACCAGCCAATATTCTGAAACCTCATTTTCCAGCAACTTTTGCTTGAAAGCTGTATTTTTAATGAAATTAAAACCCAATGATAATAATAGTTGTGGGGAATAGTGTAGCCATGGGAATAGTTGGTTTAATTGTGTTTCTTTTTGTTGTTGTTGCTTTCTCTTTCCTACCTTGGACACAACAGGGTCTCATAAACATCGCACTGAATAGACTGTATTTAGTCAGGTAGATCAATAATCAGGGAAAACACGGGAATAGTGGAAATACAGCCCAGCAGCTGTAAAATGCACAGAATGCTTGAAAGTGAGTGTTGGGATGTGTGACTCCAGGCTTTAGGAAGGGCCTGTGGCCTTTCTGCCAAAGGCTCGCCCTTGTGCAGGGGCGGCCTTCCATATGAGCACTTGCTTCCTCGTAGCCTGGGCTGACCCTTTCTCAAGGGCTCTGAGATGATTAGGAAAACCAGGAATGGTAATCTCTACTGTGTCTGGAACAAGGTAAGGGCAATGAAATGCAGTTGTTCCATTATTTTTCTTCTTTTTGATAATTTTCTTTTGCCTCTTCCTCTTCCTTTTTAAAAAAAATTACACACACATACACACACACCACCACCACCACCACCACCCAACCCTACCCCATCCTTTCATTTGACAGATTATTGACTAGGAACTAGAAGCCCATTTTTGCTTAGCCTTCAGGGCAGCTGTTTACAGAGTAGCAGTGTTACATAGGTTTACTGTGTCGTATGTCTGTGTAACACTGGATTTGGATCTTGTATTTAGCTGCCAGAAGTGACTGTGATGAAGTAGGAGAGATAAACTGATAGATTGACTGCCAGAAAGATGTTGGGAATCAATCAGATAAACAGGACAGAGAAATAGCTTGCTGTTTTCTAGTGATAATAAACCAGTGGCCTCTGGTCCCTGCATTTTTAAATGTAATTGCTGTGGTAATAATATCCAAAATAAGCAAGTGAGAGTCACCACAGGAGGGTTTTTAATTGTGATTGAAATATCTTTTTCCCTTTTGCAATAAAGAGTCACCTTAGGAGAGTGAACGTACTCACACATTTGTTTTACTGCTTCCAGTGCCGCCTTACATAAACAAATGAGATATGGAACGTGAACTACTTTTATAGGAACTTATCCCTCCCACCGGCTTCAGCTATTTCGCCCGGTGAAATACCTATATCACTACCATACCTTCCCGACAAAATAATTACTTATTCTTGTGATAAAACAAGTTTGGAAGTCAAACTTGTATTATTGACAAGTGATTTCAGGACCTGGTATATTTTTGTGTCTTACCTTAGGTTTTTTTTTTTTTTTTTAATCTTTGTTCCTATTTCTCTGCATGATAGCATTAGTGGTGGAGATGTGATGCCAAGTTTTATTATGGTAATTTAAAATCCCTCTCCACTAAGGTTTAACTTTGAAATGCACTGCCTTCTCTTCATCTAGGACTTTAAGATCCAGCGTGAATCCCTAAGTCTGAGACAAGTATAGATTTAGACTTGGATTGCATGCAACCCAGGCTGAAGAAGCGTTTGCCTGGGGTCGGTTGTGTGGATAGAGAACCTGGTCCCTCTTCTTGTGTTTGCTGTGTGTGTAGATGACTTTTTTTGGTTGCCTCTTACGATGTTTGCAACTGTGCATGTGTTAGTGGCATATCTGGTCAAATCACTAGATGGTGGGCAGGTACAGAAAGGCTGCATTTTAAATATACTCAATAAAAGCTTTTGCCTAAGGAAGACCTTCCTGCCTGCTGAAGGTTATAGGTCAGAAATTAACCGTGTACCATTATCCAATTGGTGAGAAGCTGATGGGTTTTCCTTCTTGCCACACAGCCCTTCCTACCTGACCTTTTAAAGATTCTCCATCGATATCGATGGGGTGGACAAAACTAATCATAAAAACAATGAAGGGAGCGTTCCACGCTCATTGATCCATTTGAAATGAACTGCAGAACAATAAGTCTTCCAAATGGACTTGTGTTTGCAGCTATTGCCACACCATCTTTTTAAAGACATATAAATATGAAAGGGTTAATGGGAATTCAGTCATGCTCTCGCCACCGGGTTATCCCTTATTGATTGTAGTTTTAGAGCTGCCACTGTGCCATTCAGAATTCCTACTGTGCCCTTTTAGAAGGCAGCCAGCTCTGGGCGATGGTAAATAAATCAGTCACTCTGCTTCCCCGATAGCTCCTTCGAGAACTCATAGAGCGGAAGACCAGCTCCCTGGACCCCGATGATCAGGTGGCCGTGGGAAGGTAATGTACATGAGACTTTGTGTTCTTGCCGCTGCTAAGACAGCCAGTCCATTGATTGGCGACAAGGTTCTGTTCAGACTTTTGTAAGTTGGTTCTGATGTAAGTTGACTATTTCTTTTTTGGTTAGTTTTCATTATTATTGCCCTGTGCCCTCAGTCTCTTTATACATCTAAGCTTTATTTGTCTTTAGGGGCTGCAGACAAGCTTAACGTTATATGCATTACTAATGATAAGATGTTTAAAAAAAAAAAAGACGTTTGTAAGTGCAAGTCGTTCTAAGTCCAGGACCACCTGTCTAGGCTGCTTTCAGGATAATCTGTAGTTATTTTCTCCCTTTGAGTTTCCTGAATTCTGCCTCAGAGGCAGTTATTGGCCCTATAGTGATACGAGTTACACCAGAGAGTAAGAAAAGACAAAGGGACAGAAGTCCTAATGCACAGTTTGAAAAGAGATTAGAAGACACCTAGTTCTAGGGCTTGTTTCCAAAGTCCACGGCATGCTCTTCGCTGTCTGGTTTGGGCAGTGATCAGATCCGTATCTTTTTACTGACCAGCAAGTAAAAAGTAGTCCCCCAACTGTGCGCTCTCCTCTGTCAGAATGTGGCCCTGTGTACAACAGGTTCCTGGCTCATAGTCGAGCCTGCTTTGTGAGCGCCTGCCCTAATTTAGACCTCCACCTCTTCAGTAAAAGCTTCGGCACAATTAGAAATGGGACGTGGCAGCATTACCCAGATGTCAGGGCAGAATGTAAAGTAGTGAAGGAAGGCTCTTGTGTGGGTGCTTCATCGTGGGGTTGGGAAATAAAAAGGGCGTTGAGAGTGCCACCTAATGAATAGTGTACATTTGAATAGCCATGAGCCATCATTCGCAGAAGCATGAAAGGGAACAAAAGCTGCAAGTGCCAGAGCGCTCTGAGAAAGCAGTGGAAAATGTTGGTGGATAAAATAGTTTTATTTGAATAAAACATTATTTGAATTTTAGGGCAGCATGTTGTTGATATTTTGTGCATCTCTGGGATGTTACAGAGAGCTACTCGCTATAAATTTAATGTGATAGAGCAAATTGCATTTAAGTGGTGATTATATTGTACATTTATCTGACTTTACAATAAAATAGATTATGGTAATTAAGATTATATTAAGATTACAGTAATTGGATTTCCCCAGATTTCACCCACCCCCCCATACTGAGTTTCATTGTATAAATCAGGTAAGATGACTGGCTGCTGCTATGCGGCATTTATCTTTTTTAAAAAACATTTGTTCATATAAGCAATTGATGGAGATTTTCTTAGTCCAGTATCCTTCCTTTGAAAAATTAATTCCTTATCTAAAATGATTATAGACTATGTGAATCGTGTTTGGATCCTGGTTCAAACAAACCAACTGCAAAATTGAAACAATCCAGGAAATTTAGAGACTGACTGGAAATTTGATAGTGATGGATTAACTTCTTTTTATCATAATGGTATTGAGATTATATTGGGGGAGAAGTCCTTAACCAACATATTTACAGATGAAAGGAAAATAAAATAACTTTAAAACTAACATCAACAGTGGATGATTATTTTTAAATTAGTAAAAATTAAGAAAGTTACAAGAAAAAGCACTTGGAAGTTAGTTAGCAAAGAGAAAATGAGCTATAAAGAGTTCATGTATTCTAACCAAACAGTAGTAGCAACATCAATAATAAAACGTGTTTCACAGCTCACATTAAAAGAAAATCCCCACTTATACTGTTCCGTGGGTTTTTCTGCAGACTGGTAGATTCAGTGCTTGTCACTGCAACCCCAAATGTAACGGAGCATTGTTAACCAAATTTGCTGTCCAATTTCCCAGCTGCGTCTTATTGTTGTTGTTGGTTTTGCAATTGCACAAATCCTCTTCACTTAGTTCTTTGGCTCTAGACCACCTTGAAGAACTTGATGTTGGCTGTTGATTTCCTTCTGCAGGCTTGTTAGTGAGCAACATTCTAATTTGTCAATGGCTCTAACAATCTGTTAGTGATGATACATAACATTGCTGTGACTCTCCCAGGCAGTGGCTTGCAATCCAGAAGTTAAGAAGCAAAATCCACAAGAAGGTAGACAGGAAGGCCAGCAAAGGACGAAAGCTTCGGTGAGTGGTTATTTTCATTTTAGAAAATTAGCATACTTTGCATCTCTTCTTTGGGCATTGTGAACATTATGTAATTTTTCTATAAGTCTGCCTTCAAGGGTCCAAAAAAACCCAAACATGATTTGAGACTTTTGGGGGAGAATTCATTTTCCTGACTCTAAACATGGAAATACTATATTGGTTGCTTTTTGTTCTATTGTTTTGAATGGGTGAATGAAGTAATTATGTACTTTTTTTTTTTCCCACGGAAGAGAAATACAAGAAAGAAAAGACAAAAGTAGTTGAAATTATGTTAATATTAAACAATGATTTATATAGAATTATATAAGATTTTTATTGTAAAGTTTTATTTAGAACATGAGAAAGCTTCCAAGAGTTCATGGAAAAAGAGAATGAAAAGACCATGGAATTTTTCCATGACTTTTTTGAAGCACTGTTAAAAGGAATATATTGGCCCATTTTTCATGATGCTCTATATGTACACAGTATGCTCCAGAAGCCCATTCACTGCCACTGAGTCAATTCTGGCTCATAGTGACCCTCTAGGACAGAATAGAACTGTTTCTGTGGTTTCTGAGACTAAAAGCCTCATTTTTCTCCTAAAGAGTAGCCGGTAGTTTGAACTACTGATCTTGCAATTAGCAGCCCAATGGTTAATCCTCTATGCTGTTATGCTGAGAAAATGTAAATGAAGAAAATGTAAATGAAGAGGATGTTAGCAGTGTGCTTAAATGAGATGAGGAATGGAATATTTGAAATGAGAAATTGTGGACATTTCTGGCTACAAGAAAACCCTCGGCCATGGGAACTCTTGTAAGAAGTCTCCTAAGTAAACAGACCAAAGAAGGAGAAAGAGTCAGAATGAACATTTCTATACTTAAAGTTTATGTGTACCACACACACACACACACACACACACACACACACACACACACACACACACACCCTATGTATGTACGTGTATATATTACACAAAGCCTCGGTGTCAAAGAAACTGCTTGTAATCCAAGTGCATGCTGAAACAACCGTACACTTTTTGTTTTAGGACTCGTGTAGGCAGATCGCTAATTCCAGGTCCTTATTTTAGAACCTGTGATCACTAAATTTCCCTTCAACGGGTTGGGTCTGTCTCGTCTTTGAAGACCTTAGGGAAACAGATTTTACAACAAATTTTAGTAGTTAGCCAAACACATCGTATAATGTTTCTTTAACCCAAAGAAGTGCAAAGTAGCTTTTCATTATCTTTAGATTCAGAGTCACTCCTTTGAACTGAGGTTAAATCACTAATTTATTTAACTTTTTCACACATGTAAAATTTTACATCTTCATATTTCTCAGCTTAATTTTAGTATAATGCTTGAAGACTTAGACTTGGGCTAGTCCACCTGAGTTCGAATCCCAGTTTTGACACTGAATAGTTGTTACTTTGGGCAAGATACTTAAACTCTCGGTGGCATTTTCCTCTTCTGTCAAACAGCGATTCGAATAGTGCCAGCCTGGTTGTGTTGCTGTGAGGAGTGAAGGGGAGTCGCTGTGTTTTAGAACAGTGCTGGGCACACAGTGAACCCTCCACTCTATGAACACCTGTACTGAATCACCATTGCGGTTATTAGCCCCAGACTGCATCAGCCCCTGCTCTAGCTCTCACTTACTCTTACGTGCACTCACTCCCTGCGCCTTGTCTCCTCTGCACCTGCCTCAGGGATCCCAAAATAGTGTTACCTGATAGTGCTTTGTAAGCAATCAGGAAGAAGGAGTGCCTTTTTCTTTGATTTTGAGTTTGGGTTTTTTTAACTCCAGTACTCTGCTTTTAAAATTAATAGCTTTGTGAGGGCTTCAATGTTCTCTTGGGGGAAGAGCCCAGGATTGTCAATCAGAAGACTTGGGTTCAAATCCTGGCTCTGCCTGGCTGTATGCCTCTGGTGTTCTTTATTCTCTGAGCTTTACTTTTCTTATTTACTTAGTGGTGACAATAGTCCCCGTTTAGAACAATTGTTTGAAGATTCAATGAGATGGTGTGTAATGTCTGGCATGGTGGGCATTCAAAAATATTCATTTCTTTGTCTTATCTTGTATTTGTCTGTGGAGATTTCTGTTGCAGATAGAGGCTTTTCAAGAGAAAGGAGAGGGGAGAGAGCCATATCTATATTATTGTTCTTTTATGAAGTTAAGAGACAAATAATTATATTTGTAGGCCCCTTGAGGGCAAGAATTGTGTTGCTTTATCTTTTCAGACAATTCCAAACTTATTATCTAGGGTAGTGCTTGTAGACATTAGTCAGCCAGAAAATGATTTTAGACGATTATGATAGCAGTAGAATTGAAGTACTCATCGGGTAATGAGAAATGGTTGTAACTGTAAACATGAAACAGATTAAGAAACCTGGATGAGCACAGAGAAGTCAGCACTGTCGGAGCCTGGCAGATCACTGAGGAGAATGTGGGCCCATTGCTTCCCAAACCAGAGTTGTTATTGATCAAGGTGAAAGGTAAAACAGGGTTTTATTTGAATAGCAACTGCTTTTCTTATATTAATTGATTCAGTTAACCTCATTAAGCTATTCAGCAGAGCATATGTCGGTGAGATTATATGAGGATGCTTAAAAACATTTATGGAAAAATAGAATTAAAAGATAATGGAATTTTTCCACGAACCTTTTGAAGTTCTGGTTCTTGTAGCATTTGATAGTGATTAAGGTCCTCACAACCCCCATATGCAGAAGCATTTAAATAATATTTTAGCAACAGGTAGGCAGGAGACAGATATTAAATAGGACCAAACATTAATATGGAAGAAATGGTGTGAGTATTCCCCTGTTCTAGGAACCATGCTAGATTTTGAGTAAAACCCAGTCTGTCCTCAAGAAGCGTTTCACCGGCATGGGAGAGCAGACAGTAAGCACTGTGTGGTGAGGGGAGGGTGGCCATAATCCTGAAGTGGGATTATCTGTCACAGATTAGAGGAGACGACAGAGACATTGCAGCAAAGTGCAGTGTGCATTGAATCCTCACTCTTGAGAATGCAGCCACCACGAGGAAGATTTTCTACTAGATGCTACCTCCACTCTGCATCTTTACAGGCTAGCAAGTCTTGTGAAAGCAAAAAGAACTTTAGTAAAAACACAGACTTGTGAGAGTGCATGCCCATTTTGGGAACTACAAGTAATGTATTGTGGCAGAGACTGAATGTGAGTGCGGGGGACTAGCTAGAGCTGAAGCTGTGTGAGTATAGGCAAGTGCTAGACCATGAAGGGACAAGCATTTTATATTTCAGTCAGTCAATGATAGTGAGTCACTGAAAGATTTTAAGCAGAGGAATGTTGCATCATATATGCATCTTTGAAAGATAATTAAAGAGGTTTTATAGGAATGGATTAGGACTTTATGAGGATAGGGACTGGCGTGAATAGGAGATGATAGATTGAGAGGCATTTCTAAAGGTATGTCGTTGGTGCTTAGGAGTGACAATGTGAGTGAGGAGGTTAGAATGACTCCCATGATTTCTGAGGCCTGGGCGGACTGTGGTATCATTTACCGATATGTACATAGAGATGCTGCAAAGAGGAAATCATTGGGGGTTTTTTGAGGGGGAGAGTAAGTTCCAAATATGTTTAATTTGATCAAACCAATTTCAGAGATGTATTTTTGAGTTAAAAGAAGATGTAATTTTTTAAAAGATGCACATCTTTTTGGAACCAATTTAGTTGCTGTATCCCAAGAAGTATGTGGGAGAGGACCAAGAATACCCAGTGATGCGTCCAGCATTCCTGACCCTCTTCTTGTCCTCCTGCTCAGTGACTCCTCCTCCTCGTTCTTCTTCCCTGCTTCCTCTCTCACATATGTGCACACGTGCTCGATGCATCAGAGAGATCAAGCCAGATAGGGGATTTATATCTGTGATGATATTTCTCTAGGCGTGGGGTGCTGCGGGTTATTGCAGAAGCCCAGAAATCAAAAAAACCTTTAGAATTTCTGTCTAAACTTGCACTCTCTTGATTGGGTTATCTCATAATAACCTTTTGGAATACAGTTGATGCACCTGCAGAAGGTCATATGCAATTCCAGTTATTACATGCAGTGGGCATATGGGAAATACAAAATCACCGTGAGGTGAGCACCCCAGACAAGCTCGACCAATGAACAAAAGCTTGAAGAGAAATACTTTATCTTCATGGTCTCAAAGTTCTTTCTTCATGATAACCATCAGTTACTAAGGGAAAAACCACCTTTACAGTGAACTAATCCAGCAGATTTACTTTAGTCAGTTCCTCAAGATCACCTACACCAGCAACAAGACAGTCTCTACCTTTGTATCTTTAGTAAAAGGACATGGCATTGTCTAGTGGTGTCCTTGCCCAAAATGCGGTCTCAAACTCATCATGAGAAAACATCACACAAATCCAAATTGTGAGGAATTCTACAAAAGAACGGGCCTGCACTCATCGAAAGTGTCAAGGTCATGAGGCACAATGAAGGACAGTCACGGATGGCAGAAGACTAAGGACACACCCACCCATGTTGAGATCCTCTTGAATCCCGGAAAAGAAGCAGGGCACTGGGGAGACTGGTGAAATGGGAATCTGGTCTGCAGTGTCGCTCATGGCATGGTGCCAGCACTCATGTTCTGGTTTTGATGGTTGCGCTGTGGTTGTGTAATCTGTGGGGTGTATACTTGAAGTTTCTGAATTAATTTTCTCTTTCTTTTGTCCTTTGTACTCACCTGGCTCCTCTTGTGAATATGAATGTGAGGGACATAGAATCAGAGAGCAGCCTTTAGTAGAAGCAGCAGGGAGAGCTGACCGACATTTCTAGAGCTCTCACTGCCGGTGGTTGTGCGGAGCAGTCTAAGCACAGAGGCAGCAGGAGTGAAGCTCTGGCGCTAACCTGATTCTTCCACTTACTAGTTTGAGAACTTAGGCATCTTCCTTCTATATCTCTGTGCATCTGTTTCCTATCTGTGGAAAGTGCAGTCAGCAGAGTCACATCTCACAGAGTTGTCA